ATAATAATATTTCAATTAATTCAAGTTGTTTATTGTCAGCTGAATTTCCATCATTGCCATGAAGAAAAGCTTTATATAATCAACGACACAATTCCTTGATAACTTTAACGATTTAAATACTATTGAAGAAATACTTGGGAAGTTTGAATTTTTACAAGGAGACATTCAAAACGAATTAGCAAATGCTCAAGGTATCACGTAAACGGAAGTTTTTCAAAAGATAGTCACGTCATTTCTGGTGAATTGATTAGGGCGAATACAACTTCTATTATGACTTTAATATTTTGAATTTGAAAGTTAAATCCAACTTGAGGCATGCAAATCCCCTCGCCTGGCGAGTACTACGAAAGTAGCAAGTCGTGTGCAAGCGAGGGTAGATTTATTCACGCGTTTAAATCTATTTGTTTGTGTAAGCTTTTTCCAATTTCAAGAATGGCGGCATCGACTCGAGAATCCTTGCCTCGAGACGCGTCTGCATGATGAGTTTGCTGGGAGATCTTCCGCACGCGCTCGAGAGAAAAGTGGCGAGAAAATAATAATATGAATTGCCCCGCCTCTCCCGACTATAGGCAAAGTGCAGCACGCGTTACAACAATTAGGACAATCCCAGAGGCTCACGAGCTAAGTTAACGAGCTTAGTTTTCGAGGAGTATCTTGGCCACGCGCTCGAGCCAGACCGCTGTATATACATATAAACCGAAAACTTGCCAACAGCTATGTGCACGCCCATAACTCGGCGGCTTCGAGCAGCTTAATGTCTCAATATAAGATCGCGCCTCACTTGATTCGGATGTTTATTGTGGACAGTCTGCTTAAATAAAGCGGATGCCGAGCTCAAATGCTCCGTATCCGTGACCTCGATCTAGCCCTCTCGTTGAGAGAGCTAGCGTCGTAGTACCCCGTCGCTCATTATGCATAACGTTGTCGTTTCAAAGCGCCGCGACTCTTACGACTGCATCGAAGAACGATAGACGCTCAAAGTGTCCCGTCGGCTGATTAAGGCCAAGATTTTGCCTCTCTTCTTATGTCGCGAGATTAAACTATTACGCGTCGTTGCCAACAACTGGGCTAAGGACGAGTGCGTATGGATTCTCTGTTATGATGCGAGAAACGAATCGTGGGGGAGAGAGAGAGTGAAACGCAAAAAGAAATAAAGCGCTCAAGAGCATGCAGCAGTCGCAGGATCAACTCTCTGCCTATATTCAAGGACATCGGAATTATTAAATCGCAACGATTATTATTTGTTGTTTGCGATAAACGTAATGTGTGCTCGATATATATAAAGCGACGGAAAGCAATAATGCAATGAATAAACGAGTTATAACGAGGAAAAAAAACCATTAAGATCGAGTACGTGACTGACTTCATAAATGTTCACTATCTGATACCATCCCGGCGCGTGTGAGAGAGAGATTAAATACAGAACCACAATCAGTCATATGCTGTTATCAAACGGCACGATTAATTTTAGATTCTCATCGCGTATTTGACATTTTTATTAATAACACATTTGCTCGGGTTTTATGGGCAGCTTTTCTTTATTAATGCATTTTTTCATGAGCTTCGCGAATTAATTGGACGTCCGTTACAGCAAAAGTTGGATAATTTCGGGCTCTTTTTTACTCGCGCTTTATATCAACACCCGTATATCGTGAAAGATTTAAAACTTTAAAAATTTTTCATCGATATAAAATCGTTATTCAAAGTTATAATTTGGCGAGCGATAAAATTTTATTAAAATGGTATATTTTTCCCCGGCCTGGTGTTTATGGGCGTAATAAAATTCGAAATCGGTAAAAGTATTGGCCGATAAAATTTGCCGATGTCAATTCCAAGTAGTTGCGATAGAAAGCGCGCGAGAGCGATCGGCTTTTCATTAAACAGAGCTAAACTTGTTGTTCGTAGGTTAAACTCATAAATTGCCTTATTATTCACTACTATATACGCGCGAATGCCTGCACACGCATTGCCGAGCAAACAAGGTATACGAGAGAGAGAGAGAGAAGCATCGAAAGAGAGGGAAAGAGGGAGAGAGAGAGAGGTTAAATTAATGAATCCCATATACTATTATAAAGGAGGCTCTCTCTCTCGTTGCGCATCGATGCACGTGCGGGAAAATCGAGGAATGCTTAAAAATAGCAAAGAAAAAATGGCAAGGATATTTATGTTCTTATTAAAATGCTAAATTGGATATATATACCGAGAAGATGGAGCTGCTTCCGCGCGCGCACACACGTACACGCGTGCTCCGGGGAAACAATAGGGCCTCGGCGTTATATGCGTTGCAGGCGCGCGTCCCACAGGCTGCAGTCAACCCACCACTGCACCGTATGGTCGTGGCCGGTGACGCAAGCCACGAGCCACATATCTACGCCGCTATTCATCTGGGAAGCAGATCTTTTTTCCTCTTTCGTTTTTCCCTCTTTGTTTTAAATAAATTTTGCGCGTCTTCGGGGGGCTAAGGCTTTGTGTCGTGTGCATGTATACGATGCAATGGGCAAAGCTTACAGGGCCGCGAGCTGAGAGCATACGCATATAATTTGATAAGTATATACGAGTGGCAGTTTCGCGTGCCTCAAGGGTGCGTGTGTCGTCAGCGCGTCGTATGCGTATCAGTCTCGCACGCTACTATACAGTACGCCTCGAAAGGGGGTGCGTGCGCGGATACGCGTTCGGCCGCTCACTGCTGTCGTCGCATTACGTAGGGAAACGTACGCCACCGCCGACGCCGAACGCATATTTCGCTTTGAGGTCTCGGCCGTGACACGCACATGTATAAGCACGATTCGCGATGCGCGTACACCTATTATACATATAGCTGTGGCTGTTGCTCGTTCAGCTTATTATTATGGCTACCCTTACGCGCGAGCGTATGTAAGTATCCTTGTGTATGTATACGCAGACGTGTGGCTGCAGTGTGGCAGCGACGGAGCTTCACGCGCGCGCGACCTAAGAAGTATGCTTATATACCGTTCAACGATTGCTACTACCACTGCTCAAGGCCCTGCGTAGTACGCACGCATATAATACGAGCCATTGCGGAAATTTAGCCTGGGCGTTTGGGTCGGCTCTATTAGCGGCGAGAGCAAGCAGCAGCAGCAGCCACCCGTCATAGCAAAAAAAAATAAAAAATAAAACTGCTGCGTAGCTTCGAGTTGAGAGAAAGAGAGAGAGTGTGTCGACATTGACGAATAACTCATGGAGTTTCCCTTGCCGGCGCGAGCCGATGAGCCTATCTATATATATAAAGCGAAGTTGGTGTCTGTTTGTCCTTTATGATCTCAAAAACTATTTGTCCAATCGGCTTGAAATTTTTACCACGTATTCATTGTACCACTGCGCAGGTTTCTATCATTTTAAAACCATTATTTGCTTATTTATTTTTGAGTTCAGAATTTTTTTCGTATTTTACCACTTTGCGCGCTCGCTCGCCCCTTGCCCGGTTAATGGTTATAAAAAAGACCGAAAGCAGTTGTTTTTTTTACACGCGGTGAATCGGAATACATTGTATTTGATGTGTACATGTGTTATTATCGCTATTCGAGTTTTACAAGTGTGTGGACTCAACTTATACATTTCCTACTACGCACTTCACGTGGCCTGTTTAAGATCTTTTAAGCAGTCGAATTTGTTGAAAAAATTGAACGTGGGCGAAGCCACGACGGGGTCGCTAGTATATACATATCGACATCGCATTATATATACGTGTATACGCGCTATATTACCCGTGCCCGTGAAAGGTACACGAGGGGCCAAGGACGAACGCGCGCTCATTGTTTCTCTCCCGCGAGCTCCTCTCTCTCTCTCTCTCTCTAGATTTTCTGCCTCTTCCCGATTCATTTACTTCACAACTGCTATTGCTGCTGCTTTTCCCTTGCTCTCACATAAGCAAACTCGTTCGTTCGCAACGCTTTTGTATTTATTTTGAGTGCATGCGACGAGAGCACTGCCTCGTACAACTTCACTTTAATCTTTATTTATTTACTTTTATTTTGTTTCTTTTTACTCGACTCTGGGTGCTTTTTTTTACGATGTTTTTTTTGTAACGCTACACTTTTAAGTTCACTAACACTGATTTTTACTGAATTTAATTTTACTCTTCGGCTACATATTGTATTTCAAGAGGCGCAAGAATAAAAAAGGGATCTTTTGAAAGACCGAGAAATCGATAAACAACCAAAAGATTTCAAGAATAAAATTCTAATAATAATTCTCATTTTCCTCGGTAAAAAGTTAATATTATTTAATTTTTGTACGATTCTTAGTTTGACATCAATATTGAACATAAAATGACATACATATTCTATAATGTAAAGCTCACAAAGTTTCATTTTTGTCTCTTTTTTTAACATCTGTAAACATCAAACTTAAACATACGAAATACTGTGTGCCTTATGTCTACATAGAAAAAGTTGAAATAAATATTTATAAAAGATTCGAGTTTTATCATCTGAATTCCTTCTCTTAAACTAATAAATTCAACGTGATAAAGAAATAATTATTTGCGAACTTGAAAAATGTTTTTAAAGCGCTTGCTCAATGAAAAACCATTTCAATTTACTATTTCATGCCAATTCAAATATTATAGATTAATATTATCATAATTATTCATCAAAAGAATTTTTTTCCTAAATGTTTTTATTTTCGAAATAATTTATGTAAAATAGATTGATTCATAAAAACTGATTAAAATCTATTGAAAAAAAATAAGGGAAAATAAAAATACTTTACGAAAATTATATAAAAGTTATATTTTCGAAGTAACAACGGTAGAATACGAAACGTCAGACTCTATACAAGTGAAGATAAAAAAAGCAGTAAATCAAATAAGGTAGGAAATAAGAAGAAGAAATAAGAGCAAATAAACCGACACGTGCCCGACGACGGACACCTGTTAGCGAAGCAGCGAGAGAAGCCGGCCGTACAATTGTAAAGCTATACGGATCGTATCTTATATAAGCGAGAGTGGAAAAAGTCAATAGAAGCTGAACACAACTCACCGGTGATGATCTGCAGAGATCGGTTGGCGTCGTCGCTGGGCAAGCTGCTTCCGTCTCGAAGGATGCTTTCAGCTAGTGGCCTGGCCACTCCCATGCTCCCGCACTGCCGGGCGGGCGATCGTGATCGGGCTGAGCGCGAGCCGGGCTGGCGCCTTCCAACGAGAGCTAGCTCGACTTCAGCGATGCTTATTTACCTTTACTTCGATTTTCCTTCGATTCGATCAAATGTTTATTTTCTGTTTTTCGTTCGTTCCGAAGCAGATGAGAGCGTCTGGCACGGCGCGCGCGAAGCGCGGACTTTGGCGAACGTCGACGACGGCTCTTGTATCGCGTATCAACATAAGTGTGTGCACGGATCGCGCGTTAAGGAGAGCAGTGAGCAGCAGCGCTCGAGGGCTGACGAAGCTGGCTTCTGCTGGCAGCGGTGGCGGCCACGCGGCCGCGGACTCGCCGGCCTGATCCGGGGCCACCAGTGCGCAGGCTCCCGCGTCGTCTCGGCTCGGGAGTCGCGCCTGCGCCCGCACCCCCCGAGGTGGTGGTTGCTTGCAGCAGCCTAGCAGCAGCGACGTCAGCAGCTCGAGCCCGCAGCAGCAAGCACCGGCTCCTGGTGGAGCCGCGCGTCGCCGCGACTAACTGTATATGGGGGAAGGGGCTCGTCGCGCTGCTCACTTGTGCAGCCTGCCTCGTCTCGCCTTCCTTCTGCGACTCGAGGTCTAGCGGCTGCACTTTGGCCGTCAGGGCCAATGTCATCGTCGAGCACAAATGGGTCTCGGTGAAGGTCTGGCTTGGCCCTCGGCTCGACCTTCTCGCAACTTCGTCGGTCTCGTTCAGGGTCGCGCTCTGCTGCTGCTGCTGCTGCTGCTGCTGCTTTCTTCCCCCCTGCCACTGTTGCTGTTGCTGCTGCACTGATGCGGCAACTGCAAATACCGCTTGAGCTCGTATATATAACTCGTGACGATAATCGACCACCCTTATCGCTCCATGCGTTTTCGTTCTTTTTTTTTTTCATTTTTCGATTTCGAATGAAATAGAGATACTGCTTTGACTGAGAATAACTTTTGACTCGTTGCAGCGAGAATCAGCGATGCCTATTTTATGCTTCCAATTTATTTGTCAAAAACATTTTCACGAATTCGAAATGGAATTAAACCAAGAGTTATTTGTCACAAATATCTAGTTGTGCCTTTGAACGACGGTTTTACTTGTAATGAAATTTATAGTCGAGCTTTTTAGGCGCAGTAGTAAAAAGATAGATGTGGTCAGACCAATGATTAGATTGTAAGGTCTTTATTCAATAGCAGATCGTCGATAACGGGCTAAAATATTGTTTGGTATTTATGATCCTAGACATCAATTTGGGTTTTACCGTGTTTATTTATACTTACCGAGCAAGTATCTTTCCATTACTAGAGCCTCTGTTCATGACAGAACGGGTATTTTTAGGTTTCAATTTATTATAAATGAGGGGTAGAGATTGTCTCACAGAAATGACGTCTACTCGGCTAAAAGATTAAATTCATATACAACTCGTTACAAATTTTTTCTTCGTGTTAAGTGGCCATGTTGTGAAAAATTAATTGATAGGGATGCAAAAAATAAAAAGTTTAACAAATTTTCGTCAGGTGAAGTAAAATTTATTCAATTGGATTGCTGCAAATAATGCAAATTTACAGGATACGTATAAGACATTGAATGTCTTGTTTTCTATATTTTTTATATAACTACTACGAGTTAATCATTTGATGCTTTATCAATGTCCTTTCAAGAAAAATGGGCTTGCTAGAAGAAAATCAATAGAGCTTACAAACAAGAGCTTTTTCTACGTATAATGCGGGTTTATTCTTAATCAAAAGAATATCGGCTAAAATTCAATCCTTTAAGTACGACTAGATATATAAAGTCACAGCTTCGTTATCTCTGATCATTTTGAGCTCTTGTTCAAAGCTATAGAAAACTATTAGCGCTAGTTCTGCGCATAAGGAATTAACATCGGTATGAAAATGCATATTAAAATTATTATAACAACCAGTTATTGTTTGTTTAATGCTCTTAGATGAAGTTGGCACTAAAAGGAATCAATGCGTTACATAAATGGCAATGCCTTTTTTACTTATGGATGAATAGGTGCGGATGGATGGATGGATTATAATATCATGCACTGAACCCAAATATATAAGTAAAAGTTCTATTATATGTTTATTATCATAAGAGAGGGTAATTCACTCGTTGATTAAACTATGTATAAACGACCTGTTACAGCGTCGTAACAAGCCAGTTAAATATTTGATAGACCGCCAACAGTATCACTCAATTTTTCTTTTTAATTGTCTTCCCTTCATAACTCGCACCGAGCAACTTCTTTAATTGAACGAACTCGTACTCAAAAAAGTAGACCGATGACGAAGCTTTCTCTCTTTTTAGACTGCTTACACAAGTTCGCTGCAAGGGCTTTCGGTTCGTATAAGTATGGACTTGTTGCGCGTGATGGACTCATCAATGTCTACGTGTTGCTATATGAGTTTGCGGAACTTTGTCAGTGTATTATACTCGATGAAAGTAATGAAATAATTATAAGTTTTCGATGGATATGTAATATATTTTTGAAACTGAAAATTTCATCCGGTTATTTTTGAATCAACTGTTGCATGTATGCGAAATTCGTTGATATATAATTGAGTTACGAACTGCGTCGGCAATAAAAAGCTCCGATAATCACTTTCGCATCGGATAGAAGAATCGACTGGTTTTACGCTAATTAAATCCTGATTCGCGCGTCATCGAGAGACTCTGCTACAATAGCCAGTGCTGCTTTTGCTGGATGGTATATAACTGATACAGAGGAGAGCTTTGGAAAATGCAAATATAAAGGCCGTTTGAAAAGAGCGAAAGACGCGGAAATAATGCGACACTGGGCGCATTATTACGACGAGCCGATGAAGGCATTAGGCGGGCGCTGAAAATAGTTGACGGAGTTAATGTTATTATGCATTGAACGACGCGCAAAGATGACAAAGCACTTTTGAAAGGTGATGCGTGAAAAGCTATGGATTTACTCATCAGAGGAGGAAAGCGAGAAAAAAGAGAGACCAACGATAATATTTCATATATCGGTGCGCGCCATACGAATGCAGGAAAAAGCGTCAGACGAGTTTAACCAGGCGTGCATTATAGGCGTGAAAATCCCAATAATAAAATCGATTGCGAGAGCTCGAGCTCATAAAGTATGCCGAGCACGTGGCAGATGCTATACAGCATGTATATATTGTGGCATATAAAGCAACACCGTGCCAGAGAAGCGCAAATATGAAAAAGAAGGAAGAAAAAAAGTGCATACACGATCGCAACACGTACAAAGAGAGTTTAACGTGTCGGTGTGAACGAGCTGCATGGGCTGAGCAGCAGAGAGCTGCACGGGGATGTAACCGCTGCACTCCATAAATACGTGAACAGTATAGCCGCGCGCAGAGCCGTATGCACGAGTGTAAATCGCGCGATAAGAGTTGCCGCGCGATGCCAATGAGAGGAAAAAAAAGGGAGAAAAACGGCTCGCTCGGGTGATAGACGCGTACGATTGCAGCTCGCAATAAGGGAGTAACTCGGACGAATAAAAGGTTTGCGCTTTTTTTCATCGACTTATACCTGCTCGATGTTATATCGAGTGCGGCTAAGGGATCGAGAAATGGACGTACTCATATATAGACGATGGATCAGCTTAAAGAGTACATTATAAAGAGGATAAAGGTGTGCGTGCGAATATACACGTAGCGATAGGTATATATCTCTCATAAGGGCGAAGAGAAGAGAAAGGCGGCAACGAGCTTGAAAAGGCTCGAGAGTCGTGGCGGCAGCTCGTTCTAGCCGGAGTGGCTCATGTGCATCGCGCGCTGGTGGTAGTGGCCAAGGTCATCGTCGCAGAAGTTGCTGCTCCCCGCCAGTCAGTATGTATATACGAGTGAGCGTAGATCCAGCGGCGGCGGCAGCAGCAGCAGCGAGGAACTGCCGTATCGATCAACTTGTTGCATGCGTAAACAAAGGGAGCAGCTCGAGTAAACCGCGCGCACACGATATATGTCGTATGTGTACGTAGTATAAAGTAGGATAGGTGTGTAGCAGCACAGCTCTTCGGAGTCAACGGTGTGTCGTTCGTATAGCAGCGACAGAAGGTGGTAGGTAGGTAGGTAGGTAGGTAGGTAGGTAGATAGGTATAGGTGAATATGGAAGGAGGTGGCGCGCAAGCGCTAGCCCAAACTTCACCTGCTGCCTGCACCCGATTCCAGAGAGAGAGAGAGTGAGTGAGTGAGAGAGAGTCTGCTGCTGTGCGGTACGCTGCTCCGCCAGCAGCAGCAGCAGTGGCCGCAAGTCGATCGTGCGTGTACATATAGCCAGCATATAATGACTTTGCACAGGGCTGCTGCAGCTAGCGAGCGAGCTCTGATGCCTGGGATATTATATACGTCGTGGCGTATACACACACGCGCGCGTCGTCGCAGCAGCCCTGTGCATGTATAGCGCGCAAAGCAAGTTAGAAAGAGAGAGAGAGAGCGACTCGACATTACCGCAAAGGGCTCGTATTTTTGTTTACTCGGCAAACGCTTATGCTATGTAAACTTTGGCGTCGCCTTCGAATCAACCTCTCTCGCGCATATATTTTTACGCACGAATAACAATTTCGGCTCCTTTCTTTGAGCATGTATATAGGACATGTATGCTTATCATTACAATGCCGCACTCTTTTTTTACTACCGCTGGCAAGTCCATTTATTACGCTTCGAGCTTTTGCTTCGAGTCCTACATAGAATTATGAAAACGTCGGAGATGCTATATACGAAGGAAATATTTATCGAACTTGAAATTTGACCTTGAAATTTATCACGATCTCTATGGCGAATCGATCAAATATAATAAAAAAAAGTCTTTCACTCGTGTATATATACGTCGAAGGAAAGCCGAGCTGATAAAATACATATAAAAGCGCGACGAATATACGCAGTCGAGCAAGCAGCAGCAACGCCGAGGACGCCGCCGAGATCGAAACTGAATCGGATTATTTAAATGCTCGCGCGGAGAGGAGCTTTCTCCTTCACTTTCTTCTTTAAATCATCGAGAGCGCCGATGGCTGTGTCTCGAGACGCTGCGAGAGTAACCGAGAGAGCTCGCCGCTGCAGTCGATGCGAGAAAAAGCAGTGAAAAACAGAAAAGTCTTGTCTGTATGTGTGTGTGTGTGTGTGTGTGAGGAGACGCCACGTGAAAGGTGGCAAAGTCACGAGATCGCTTATAGTTTATAAATGTATTATAATATATATTTACCTGTTTGGCAAAGCTCGATATAACTCGCAACTCTCGACGGCGGAAACAATGGGAGTGCTCGGCACAAATCGCACTCGAGAAAAACGTCGGCGAATCTGTTATTGTATCCGCTAAAAACTATATAGGTGTGCTTGCTTATAATACGTGCTCTCGAGCTATCTACGTCGCACGTGCGATGAAATTCAGCTCGCTGCGAGTTTCGTGTTGCATCTACTACGTCCGTCCCCCGGCCAAGTCATTATTCGAGCGCGACAGGCCGAGTAACGGGCGCCTATATAAGCTCTCATATTTAATATAACGTGCAGCCTCGTGCCGACGTCGCGTATCGCATATCAAGCAGCCGACGATTGAGCCGTCAGACCGAATTATCGAAGCTTTCGTAAATATGAATATTCAATATTTGATTTCTGCACATTGCTATTCGCGAAAGGATCAATGCTTGGATATATAGACGTTAGAATTTAGAGACGCAGAAAGTATGTACTGGATAAACTTACTTGATGTTTGCTCTCGCGTTGCGCGTATATCATCATAAGGGCCGCGGCGTACTTGTGCATGCTCCGCTCGTTCGATCGTTTCTTTCGAGGCTCCCGAAATTTCCAGCGATCTCGCGGCTCGCTCGAGCTTTTATTTTATTCCATCCAAGCGTTTATTTATGCCTGCAACAATATATACTTGCCTTTTCTCTCGATCGTTCTCGCTTCCTCCTTCGTCTGCGTTGCGTAATTATACTTGCGATGAATAAAGGAAGCCTTTGAGGGTATAAAATAATAGGAATAAGCTGAAAAGAGATACTGGCGCGGAGGAAATTGATAAATATAGCATAAGAAAATAACACTGATTATGAGAAACATGAGATATTTTTATTAAAACAATATTATACAACTTTATATCCCCGGTGAAAACATTTCTAGCATGAAAAATTCGATAATCAGCTGTACATAACATGAGATACACAAGGTACACAAGAGAGATTTATTGCACTGCGATAGCCCAATGTCTCATTTATTTGCGACATAATACTAACAGTAATGCTATTAATAAAAAATATGACAATTGTAGCTGCAATAATCATGGAAAATAATAATGATGTTAAATATTAGTCAAGAAAGATAATTTTAAAATAAATAACATAAATGTACAGAGAGGGATGTTCATTAAAAAAAGGAAAAAAAAATTAAGACGAAGAAGAGTAAAAGTATAAACGGCGGGCAGGCAGGTACTCGCGCTGTCTCGAATTGCTATACGCTGCGAACTACTTGCGGTTCGCATACGCTTGAAAATGTCTTTCGAGATTAGATGGTTAATTTTTTTTTTATTATTATAAAATAAATTTTTTACGCTGCTGCCATTTTGCCGTTTTCATAAACCTGCGCAAAAAGAGGTAGGTATATTGAATTTTGCAAACGCATTTTGCGGGACCTGGGGGCTGCAATTTTCAGCTCCAGTGCGTGTTACAATCACTACTCTAAAATAGCACCTTGGCTTTTTTTCCCTCTCTCGCTCTCTCTCTCTCTATATATACACATCTCTCTTTTCCTCTCGCTTCGGAACACGAGAGTGTCGTACTACATTACGCCGCAGCAGCATCAGCAGCAGCAGCAGCAGCCAACGTAGCAGCAGATATATGCATAGACTCCGTACAACCGGCCGGAGAGCGAAAGAGGCGCGCAGATTGCTATGTTCGCGCGTAAACGCGCTCGCGCCACACTGTACACACAGACACAAATACGTACACACTCACACACTCACACACACACACACACACACACATAGACACACAGTCTTGACTCGAAGTTTCTCGGCTGCATTTACTGGATTTCATTACAATTGTGCATATAACGTCGCGTCGTCGAGATTTTCCTTTAACACCGGCTGAGGTTTCGAGGCTCGGTGGTTTACCGAATTTGCGCGTTTATGCTCTCGCGCGTACAGTAGTACCTGCACAGCATCAGCAGCAGCCGCACAGACCTTTCCGACAATATGTGTATAATTTTATATTCTATCCTAACACAAGCTGCGTCGTTACGTTTGCGTTTCGCGTAGCTTACTAATTTGTTTTAATCTACAACAATGTATATAATACCACCTGAGATACGCCTCGAATGAAAATGAAACATTTCGACACGATCGTCGTTCTTATTATACGTGCATACAAATTGCAACAACAGACATTCATCTTATCAATCTCCAGGGTTAATAAGTTTACGTTAATAATAATCGATATCGTCCTACGACACAATAAAAGAAAAGAAAATAAGTTAACTTTTGTTACACTTGGTTAATGGCTTGGTTAAAAGGTGATGCGGTGCGCAGCCTCGACTGTACTGTACGTATGTCGCAAAATTTCGCAACGCAAAATTTAATTAAAAGATTATCGTCGACAGTCGACACGATGTCGATAAGTATAAAATCAAATTCGAAGGTATATACGCATCGACTGGTGGCCGGTTGTTTTCGCTGCTGCGCATCATCTCTCGCATCGTCCGTCCGTCCGTCCGTCCGGTACACACGCCAATGGCATCAGCCGATCCGAACAAATTTAAAACAATAATTACAATAGAGAATCGCGCGGATGCCAACGGCGCGCACCAACTGCTGCATACAGCTAGCTGTCAAAGGAAGGTAGGGCGGGGGGCTAGGTAGGTAGGGAAAAGTCGATAATTAAACTATCGGAGTTAGCGGAGCGATGAAGCGTCGACGGACATGTGCCAGCTCGCGCTATATACAAAGAGAGTAGTAGTGTACACCTGCGAATACACCGCTGCACCGCTGCACTTTCATCTCTGCGATCTCGAGCGCCGCTGCTGCTGCGAGAGACTCTCTCGTTCGTAATATACGAGCCATTTCGATTCGTTCGGCGCTGCAAGCTGGCTGCATGGGATTCGATCGGCGCATTATACATGGACCACCATAATCGGTTTGCGCTGGTCTTTCTCTCTTGGCTCGGCTCTACTAGGCTCAGGCTCAGCAGCAGCAGTACTGGCAGCGCACGAGGCCAACCTCGTCGCAGTTCATGCATTTCAGGGCGACGAACTCGGCGGTGAAATCGTTTCGGTGGACCGACTTTTTGCTGCCGTTGCAGACCGGACAGGGCAGCAGCCGATAGCCACCGCACGCCTGGCAAGTGTTGCACACGTCCAAGCTCTGCAAACAAGACAAGAAAATATGAAAAAACGTAAATTATTGTACGGTGATCGTGCAGGTCGCTGTAGCGATTTTTTACCCGCTCTCGCGAAAACCAATCGGTCAATTATCTCGTAAATCTATTCTTCTGGCTGACGAAGCTCAATACTATTCTAGGGATTTTCATTGTAAAAAGTTCAAGATTGACAACTTGAGGTTTGAAGTAAAAGCACGTGTTTGTTGACATTGAGCATCGATAATCGATTAAGGTCCTTTATACAAACTATAAGTCGGTAACATTAATACATGATTATTTTGTACCCATTTTTTTCATTTACTATATCGTTAGTTTTCAATTAAATGGTTGATACTTAAAAAAAAATTCGACGCGCAATTATCCTTTTTTTGTTACTTACAAGTAAGGTATACTGAAAAAGTTGAACATTGAACTGATTTTAGTAATCAATTTATTAACAAAAATTAACATGAACATATAAATTCTCTGAACGCTCTAAAATGAATGTCAGGTCTATAAATGAGATAGTTAATTCATAAAATGAGTACAAAATAATATCGGTGTGTCGGTACATTGCGCATCCGCTATAGCTGACCCTTAAGGCGACTCCGATTTTCTGTACTTTCTACTTTTATCGATCTTCCGGTCTTGGATTAAGGTGTCTTAATTTTGTTAAATCGTGTTCCTGAAAAACGAAAACAAAAGTACTTTGCGAAACGAGGAAATTACATTAACCCGCGTGAAAATGAAAATGAAAACGAAATTGTGCACAATAATGTCATTAAAATTTTTTAATAAAGATTACCAAACGCAATAGTTAATTTTCGCGCACATTTTACTCTTTTTTTTTCAAAACAATACGTTATTTTCTTGCATTTCTATTTTTCATTTTTGCCCCGAATATGAATAACTATTGTGTGTCACGTAGCAATTTTTGCTCCGAAATGACAGCAGCAGCAGCAGCAGCAGCAGCTCGACGTATACAGACTGTTGACATATGGCTTTTTTTCGAAGGCTCGCGATTCATATGCTACACGTACCTATATACGTTAAAATCTGTGCTGCTGCGGTGTGCACGGACGGATCAATGCGCGGAGGCAAAAAAATAGTGGAGCGTTAACGAGTTGTTTGTCATTTCCGTACATATACCAGCCGCGTATATACATTTCATATTAGAGTGCAAAATTCGCAAGACTGGCAAGGTAGTGATTCGCGCGTTAATCCTGGCCTGCGCGCGCGTGTCACGACCAACAAAAGTACACGCGAATTACGAATTGACATTTCGGTGCTACGTAGCGCGAAAAACACGAGTCCTGCCGCTGCTGCTGCAGCTAGAGAGATCGTGCCGATCGCGTAAATGGAAAATTGTCCGCGTCGGATGAAAGATTGTGCACATACTATGTATACAAGGTACACGTATAAACACGCGCTGATGGATTCGCCGCCACCGCCGCGTCGTCGTCGCCGCACTGCCACCGAACGTCAGCTTATGGATATAATAACTGCTGTGACAATCGCCGCAACCCCGCGTGCCGTAGTTATAACACGAGCCACGTGAACATTCGCGAGGCTAATATAGCAGCAGTAGCAGTAGCTCACCTGCTACCACACGATTTTTGCCGCGGGCCATACATGTACCGTCGCCGCCGCCTCGGTTGCATGCACTTGCTGCTGCAATGGAACAAGCGCGCGCGAGCGCGAAAACGAGTCCCTACACCACGAGTCGCGTTCCGATAAAAGTGAAAGGATTGCCTATAGACACATCGAATCTGGGCTCGCGCGAGCGCGTACTATCTACATGTACATGCCTGCGAAAACGAACGCGTCGTCGTCGTCGTCGTCACCGAACTCTCGCATCTTTGAACGCGCGCCCAAGGCATCCCGCGCTGCAGCGCAGCCGGGCAGCGACGTTACTGCACGCGCGAGGACGTATAATTCGAGTCGCCCCGGCACGTACTTCGTTTACTTTTTTTTGGGCCAAGGAAAATCTCGACGACGCTAATCGATCGCGTGTTTTGATTTTTCTAATAAAAAGTACCGACACGTACTCGAAGATAATATTTCGACGACCGAACGCTATAAACGGAGATAGTCAAGCAGGCAGATATATCTGTAATGTACGTTTCGTCGAGTTTTTTTCCCAGTTATCCAGCGAAAGCGATACCATTTATAGAGCGCGAGAAATTATTTGCCGGCGCGCAAAAATTCGCAATTTCTTGTCGAGATCGTAATCTCGATACATCTAGAATTATCTTTAATAAAATCCCGCGCGCTCGCCGCCGCCGCGTCGAATCGAGAAAAAACTTTTCTTCCTAATGAAAACTGAATCTTTATTCGCTGTTATTTCATCTTGCAATGACTTTTTTACTCCGTAGCTAGTTTATTTGCTATACACATCTCTCATCTCCCATCTAGATTATTATGATGTATACGCGGAAATGGTACTATATTATAGATATATACTTCTTTTTTCTTAGCAGGATCTACGATGATCGGTCATGAGAATCGTGAAATTGTTAAATTGTTACGTGCGGATGATAAAGATGAATTTTTTGTATTATATATAATACTTTCATTTACCTTGTACGGTTTAAGCATTTGACGCAGCTCACCCGTCTCGTTCAACCGTTCGACCGTGTTGGCATCCTATAAAACGAAAACAAGCCTGTGGTTATAAAACTTGAAGACATAGCCATAAAGGATATTAAAAAATAAAATTTAGTCATTTCTCGATGCTCGTAACGATAAATTCAAGCAACTTTTTTTCATTAAATCTAACAAATGTACGCATGTGAAATTCTTTATTGTATAATCCTAATACACAAACAATATGTAATTACATGCAGGAACGAATACACATAGAGGAGAAGAGCCAAGAGATGAGAATACATTAGAGATTTCTCATTTCTGAACAAATAAGGATAGATTGCATTAAGAAAATAGAAAGTCTCCTGTAGGATTCTCAATCATCCGATTGCGCGCACAATTCAATGCCTCTGCAGCAGCAGCAGCAGCAGGCGAAGATGCTGCGCACAATCACAGATAAACACGCGCTGCTCGTCAAGTCAACGCGTATATAGAAAATGGCTTTTGAAATTGCATCGACAAAAACCTTCTCTCCCTCTCTCTCACTCACTCGCAGAGCTGTTTCACTCTCGGTTTATATTTTGCCTCGATTATTTTCAATTATCCGCGCGTCGAAACGCCAGCAGCATATGTATGGGTAGAATGTGCCGCCGCGCTTATGGTAGCGAAAAGTGAATGGACGCGCGCAAGGAGGTTACGCGCGCGCGAAACGTATCGGGAAATTTCAATACGGAAATGAAGTAACTTTTGATCGTAGCAGTAGCAGCAGCAGCAGTAGGCATCCTTTGCATCGATTCAGTAGATACGTACCCGAGATTGCATATAGCTTTATACACAGTAGTTCGAGATTAGCGCGCCGATCCAAAAATAGCCATGGGCTTGTAAACTTTGACGTCAGCGAGCAATAAATCCGATTCTAAAAACGTGAGCGTGATTAAACTCCGAGGCATGATTGAACGCGTCGAGTTTCGTTGGTCAAGAACTGGAGATATAGCAGAAAATACTTTATTATGTTTAATTAAGGCTTCGCAAAAGGAGTGTAAGTGCTTCACGAAATGTCGCGCGGCTCGAGTTTTCTAAATGAGAAAATCGCTACCTGGTGGATTGTTTCATTAGATCCTACGGCCTTTTGTTCAGGCATTACGTATGCGACGAATATAACGTCCTTTTCGTGTTCGTATAATGGCTTATAACGTACACTTGATTAATTATTTTATTTCGATTAAAAATAAGCGCAGAATGTTGAGCGGCCTCCGCGATAAGTAAGGAAAAGTTACGTACATAACTAAAATAAATACCCTCGAAGCTCGAGTTGAAATAATTGGTACGACATTTTTATACTACTACGTAGAGATGTCGAAAGTGCATAAATGTAACCGCAAAAACAAATTACGCGAGGTGATCACGCGAACGCATACATTTTTACACCTACGCGGAGCGTTTTCAACTTTATGCCCTCTGCGCAGTTTGTTTTTAGCCCTCAGCTTATTTCTATCCAATTACGAGCATACACCTCGTATGTAATTGCAAAAGTTTCGATTGGAAAGTGTATGTAGGGTGACTGACGACGACGATGTAGACGATGAAGTCAAACTGCAGCAGCAGCATCCAAAAGACTTGAATTTATGGCAAAATATTATTTCTCGCACACGTGAATCGCTCGAGGCTCGATGGGTCGCATCTGGTGCTGTGCTGTGCTTTGCCACGCGCGCGCCAAAGCCTATACATATAAATACGAGAGACGAGATATACGTGACGTAGATTTAGTTAAGAATTTTTCAATACCCGAGGAGCTCGTGTATGAAAGCGATCGATGCGTTTGACGCTCCGAAGCTGCGACTCTATAACTGCCACACGTCGTATAGCATACACATGCACATATGCAGTGCCGAAGCCTGTAGTACAGGTATACGTACGCGTATACCAGCTATGATCCGACGAGTTATGCTTTTAAAAAGGCATTGCGCTTTGTTAGCCATTCTCTTTTGATGTACGTGCTGTATACACAAATATACATATTAATATTCAACGATATTCTTATACGACTCGGGAAATCTGCACTTAAAAGTTACCATGAATTATCTCAACGGCCGTGATGGACAAATATTTCTCGCTTCGATTAAATACTTCCGTCGTTTCAATCAATAAGATCATCTAATTTTTTAAGTTCATTGAAAGTACATGGTATTAAAAAAAAATAAATATCTAAGCAAACAGATGAATTTAATATTTTTTTAAATTTATTTATTTGAAAAATTCTGTGAAAAATTTTTCATTTATGAGTGCTAAAGCTGCTAACGCGGTCTCCTAAACCACAAAACCTAATAAGATTGTCGCATTTTGTTTTTCATGGATTCCCTACCCTTCGAGCTATAAGAAGCTTCACATCAAAAATCTATAGGAGAAATGGAGTTGACAAATTTTCAGGGGCAAAAGATGCACATAACATAATACTCTTACACGAAAGCCTGTTAATTAAATTCTGCTTATGCATTCGTTTGTGAGGATCGAAGCTCGCCGAGATACCAAGCCGGTGCACATTTGACGACTGCCGCAGAGCACGTCGATCGTTGCAGTTGAGACTATTGCCTAGACCTGGCAAGGCAAAAGCCTTGACTCGTATTCACCGATAGCTTCTCTACAAAGTTTCGCCAGCAACGACGTATCTATGTATGCACGTGTAAGAAAGCTCGATGCGGGCTCGACTGTCTGAGCAGTACGTGCACGAGCGAGCTCCGATACATAACTCGCTCGAGTGTGCAGTCTAGCTGTCTCTGTGTGTACGTGTGCAAGCGCATGTAAATTCATCTGTGCATACAGCAGTTGCCGCAGATATTGATATATAATTGAGCCTCGAGTAACGAGTCAAACATGTAAAGCGTGCACCGGAGAGAAGCGAAGTTTGAGAAAATGTATCGATTGCTAGTTGCGGTGTATCAGTTAGCTTTGCAATATATATATGCACGAGCTGACACAATGCCGCGGATGGCGGCTGCAGCCCTATACACGGTTGACAGTTGGTCCAGCTCCACGCGCAGAGGTGACAGCAGCTCGTGCACTGCAGCGGATGCCGCGGCGATCGACTACAGACCAGCAGCAACAGCAGCGGCGGCTCTTCTCGCTCGCCGCGGACTCGATATCGATCGATCGCCGCTTGATTAATTACTCCGAGCGTACATGATATACCGAATAAACTTTTCCGTACAGTATCCTACATGTGTGTATCCATTCTGCTGGGTCTACTTTTGCCGCACATACAAGTGTACGATCAGTACAGTCGTTCGATCGCGTATGCGTGTGTGCAGCTAGCTGATCGCGTAGGTGCCGTATCACCAGCGCGCGAATGATCGATCGGGTCCAGTTTCGCACGTGGAATGAAACTTTTCTTCGCGAGCGTCGAGCTGCTAGGGCAATTTTTCATAAACTATCTACACTTGTCTTTCTCACAGCACACACACACATACACAATATAAGTCCGCATGCCGCAGCCCATCCTCTCGCGTACGTGTATTAATATCACGAGTATACGGCATAGCTGACAGCTACGTCGAACGCTACATAATACGCTACTTATAATATAGCGTTGGCACGAAGTACATTATGCTCTCGCGTCTTCTTGAAGCGAACTATAGCTTCGCGGCGAAAGCTTATCAGTCGCTGCTTATATAGCTGCACGCGTGCGTGGCAGTATACGCAGCAGTGGCAGATCGAGTCTAGAGCGCGACGACCTACTACTATTACTACGCAGTTCTTTTTTCCCCGGCGCTCCGCCATTGGAATTTCTCAGACGAGATTTATTATGCATTTTCTGCGCGATGCTCCCTCGATCGCAGCCTCGGGATCTATTGTCTCTACCGCGACGACGACGACGACGACGACGACGACTACGGCAGTGGCGCGGCGGTGTCGAGCGCGTCATTGTACGCAAATGGGCTGCTATACGGAATTCGCTGCAGAGCAGGATCGTTGAGCGCAGATATAACGCTCGACGCGCTCGCTCATCTGGCAAACTTTCTCCTTGACTTCCGTTCATTTGGCTGTCGAGTAATAGAGCATAGGCGGGCTAATGAATACGTCGTCTTGGCGTGCCGATTAATGCTCCGCGTACAGCATACACTGCGGCACCTATATCGCCGCGCGCTTACGCACACGTTGGAGCTTGTCATTTGAATCTCCGACTACATATCTGCGCATATATACATAGAAAATTTGCACCGCATACGTATTATACACTCACTAAGGCAAAGACGACGTCACTCGGCGGCGCACGAGTGTCGCATTGCTCCGCAGCGCGCGCGTTTACGCTTTCCCGCATCGGCACTCGTAATAGCTGTCGCGCTGCAATTTAATCGGGCAAAAAATGCGCCCCTGCGGCTCCCGCTGCTGCTGCTGCTGCTTCACCGAGAGAGGAACAGAGAAAAAGATAGACGCACCTTCGGTAGGTGGCTTATACAGCACGCGCCGTGTTTATGCGAGTACATTTATAAAACAGGAATAAATTCCGAAAAAAAACACTCCGAGCATAATATCGCAGCTCGTAAAAAAGTTTTCCTACGCCTCGTACACGCGTATACGCATGCACAGACTTGTGTACAGCACGAGACATAATGAGTACATATATCTATATCTAGCTCGATATAAATCGAAATATACGTCGGTACGCGCGAGCTGGCTACTTGAAATTCTTATAACGAAAAAAACAAGTTTAGAAGCGTCTGGAAAGGATAAAGGGTGCACAACACGGCTCATACATAATAGCCGTGCAGCAGCAGCAGCAGCTTATCATATAAAGCGATGCTGCGCTCCGATATACGCTATTTTGAGTTTACGATCGGACGGCCGTTGTTGTATATACGTATATATAACATATTCTCCGTGTCGCATATATTAAATGAGTGTGTCGATATATCGAGCGGCGACGACACGAGGTACTCGGATCTCGTTACAACGACGTCTTCATCGATACGAGCGATAGATAGAGAGAGAGAGAAGACACACTCAATGTCGGTCAGCGCGTACGTACGTTAGATCCCTTTCTAAAATCCACTCGTGCATGTATTGCATATTACAAGCGGCGTGGCGTGGCGTGGCGCGCGATCGGCGCATTTGCGGACAAGGCGTGTAGTATTATATACTCCGTACGTACATATATGAGCTCGAGAGAGCAGTAACACACAGAGCTAACCCAATTCTGTGGCCAATGGAATTAATCACGCTCCGGCTAGGCCTCGCAGCTTCTAATGAGAGAGCTTCTACGCCCAGCTGCAAGTATATCGTCGCATCGTCGCATGTATCGCGGCACAAAGTATCGTTGCGCGTACTCGCTGACGTCGCTCTCTCGCTCGACGACAATTCTCATCTCGCTATGTATAGAGGAGCTGCTCTATCCTATTTATCAAACCGAGGCGCAATACCGTGAGTCTAGCAACTTCCGCGAGCGGCGCAACTTCGTTTCTGAGCCAATTCAAAAGCTCACACGTCTGTGAAAAAAAAAAATAAACAAACTTTTTCTGGGTGACTTTGATTGCATTTGCGCGAGGGGCTGAAGTTGCGTCGATCCGTTTCAATTTTGTTAACTACGCAGGCGTTTTTTTACATAAACTGGCTGCGACGCTCATTAATATGCTGCCAACTTTGTTACTTTTGCTAAAACGTATCGCGTATAAGCTCGCGCTCATCGCGTGCTACAGATCCACCTAAGCGAAATACCAACAAAGTTTTTTTATTTCCTAACCGAAGCGCGGAAAATTTTTCGAATTTCCGCTATAGTCCAACTCTTCCCTTCGATATATCGTGTACATACCTATCAAGCGTGTCCTAATTTTCACAATCAATGCTATTGGAATTCTGTGCGTCACGTGACTCGAGTCGTAAATTTCTTTCGCATATTGTATACGCGTGTGTATGCGTGCGCGTATGTTGTTTACGACTCGGATTGGGCTCGCCGCGCGCAGCGCAAAAACTTGAATGAATTGCTACGAAGGCAGTAAAGTTAATGTTATTTAAAACCTCGCGCGGTAAACTCGAAAAATTCGAATTATTTATTTGAATAAAGAAGCGATCTAAAAAAGAAACCCGCGCACTTGTTGCGCGCAGCAGTTGCCACTGACATACATTGATTATTTTAATTTGGATTAACTTTATCGCTGCGACATTATTTCCAGTCGTCGAGGTGTTCTTTTTTCTTCGTTATTTCGTCGCTGAACTACTTTTACAACGTGAAAACTCGTTTTGTTTATCCTTCTTGAAATAATAAGGGCATTCGCCGGCGCACCTGATATATTCAGCACAGCGTCGTTATAGTTTATTAATTTACCTGTATCGCGAAACCCATTTATCAAATAGTTATGAACGTGTATACGGAACGACGTTACAGAAATAGCTCAATAACAACATGACAACTCGCCAGTCCGTAAGAATCTAATAATAAATTATGTAAGTCTTTGCACTCACGTTTTCAATGGTTTTTTTTCGGTGTATGCGTAACCGACGCTGTCCGATGGAGTGCTTAAAAATATCTGGCGGTGATTACAATTATTGAGCAGGAAAAGCAAAGAATTTCTACTCTCCATTTTTTTTCATTCCTTTTTTAAAGCGTAGTTTTATCATGGGACTCGTTGGGGAGTATTTTGTAAACGCGATTGCATCGGTTGCAGCAGGATTGAATCTGTGCACAGTGCACGAGCTCCGGAAGCAGTTTTCATTCGAGAAGTGAGAAATCCGAGCTTGCATTCGACACTACTCCAATAAAACTTACGTAAACTGAATTCCATCTAATGCCTATATATATATGGCTGATTCTCTGTGAAACCAAATAGTCAGAATTTTTCTTTTTAAGGCAAGAAAAATTTGTTGCTTTTGAGGTCGTACGTGGTCAAATTTTATTTGAAGTTGGCATTTTAACGAAATTCAGGTTTATTTTAAATATTTACAAAATTCCTAGCTCGGTCCTTAGTGTCTTTAGGAAAAAATGCTCGAGAGCTTTTTAACTGGAAATTGTCCAAGCTTTAAGAAAAAGTACTGCAAAAAGGTCTTAGCAGTTTGGGAGCTTGTTACTATGGCTGAAAACATAAGTTCAAATCTAATCAAGATCGATCCGGATTTTCATCAACTAAATATTCGCAGAGCCCTTTCAAGGTCAACTAATACCTTCTAAACTTTTGTAATGGGCTTTAAAGTTAGGAGAAACAAAAATCCGAGATTATCGAAACATGTTGAAACAGGCTTTTTTGTTACATTACCTTTTTTAAAACTTTTTTTTCGCACTTTTTAATACGAATAAAATTTTCGTAATTTTGAGTAACCTCTGAGAATTGTTTGGTTATTAAACTCCGGATCACACTGGATTAGATTTTGTGTTTTATGTTACTCTTTGTATAAGCAAGTTTTTTAGGCGCTAAGATCTCTGCAAAGTATTGTTTTCGAAAATGAAGACAATTTCCAGCAAAAAGGGTCTCTTGTAATTTTTCTCTAAGTTAGGTTTAGTTTAGGCTGAATCAGGAGATTATAAATTATACGCAATAAGCATGAATTTAAAAAATAGCCAACTTTGGGCCCATGAAAAAGGGTTCTAGATGGTCCAAAAAATTCAAATAAACTTGGAGAATATGTATGACATCATTTTTCATGACAACAGGAAAATAATTTTCGATTATTCGATTTCACAAAGAATCAGCCATATATAGCGTGATCAATATATCTCGTATTTCGAACACGCAACTTGCTTTTTACACAATGCGTAATTATCAATTTGTTTTCTCTCTCTCTCTCTCTCTCTCTTTACCTCTCTAAAATCGTTTTTCAAAGGTATGCTCTTTTACAAAAAATTATCGGGTTGAAATATTCCAAAGAGTTTACGATCAAGCTGCGTCAGGAATGACGTTATAGCATGACACACGACTTTACGGTTTTTCATCAATGTTATTACGCACGCGGGTGTCGAATAGAAAGTTATCGATGTACCGCCGGGTAAGAAGGACGAGTGGAGGGAAGAAGGAGATGCATTACGAAAATGAAATTGCGTTGGGCGAAAGCGCGACTTACCCCGATGTACTCTCCATCGATGAATAGCTGTGGCACAGTTATGGCATTGCACCTCATACGCTCCTTGAGCTCCTTCTGGTTATCCGAGCTGAAGTTCAGATCTCGCACCTCGTACTTGGCCATGTGCGTGTCGAGGATCTTCTTGATCGACTGGCATCTGTTGGAGGTGCTCCTGATTATGCTGCCCGACGTCGTGAAAAGCACGACTTTTCCTGCGTCCAGCGTCTTATAATTCTGCAAAAAAAAAAAAAAAAAAANAAAAAAAAAAAAAAAAAAAACGAACGCAACGTTACAATTATGCAATCGCTGAGACATATGTATGCGAATAATAATTGTCGGTCTCGAATTTTCTCGAATTGTCGCCGTTCGAAATAATAACGAATACGGTACGGAATTGCATAGCAGCTCGTATCGGAGCCGCCGGCAGGGATTTCATTATAATAACGGGCCGTAATAGCGCAGCGCGCGGAGACCACGATCGTGTATAATATGGTTTCTCTCGGAAAAAAAGCGATCGATGCGAATGCACGCATACATGGCGAAAAAAGACGAAGAAAAAGAGACCGAATACGATCATAATATAGACGCCGGTCGTTTCGTCATCGTATCGTGAGCAAGTGATACGCGCCGCGGTCACTGGAAAATGGGATGTTGCGCAGCCTGCTATAGTAGTACATTTATATACGCATAGAAAATATGTATATAGTCTATCTCTATAGGACTGCGCTGTATATGGCGCGTGTGCTGTGCAGCTTGGTGGCGGCGGTGGCAGCGGAAACTGCGGTGGAAGCCGTTAAAAATACGCCGAATAATACGCAAAAACGTTACGATTCTCTCTCTCTCTCTCTCTCGGAGCAGCTAGTGTAGTGCGCGCGAGGAGGGAAAACGTGAGCTGCTGTTGCCTAGCTTGGCAGCTGTAATCGGGTGCGCGCGTGCATATAACAGTACGATGATATTATAGTTGCAGTGAGAGAAGGCGCATATACCTACGTATAAACACAGGATAGCTCTCGTCGTACATATACACTGCAGTCTCCGTGTAGCTACTGCTTCAGCCATGTACGTGTATAACGCGCCGCATATAACGTTTACGTATGTATGGCATGTATACGGCGAGAATACGAGCTGCCGAGTAATCTGGCCTACTCGCAGTTTGTACCCATTTAGCTGCGCCGAGACCGTACACACGTATAGCTGCCCATATTTATATGTATGTATACTATATGTATATGTACGCACGCAATAGCCATGAAGCCAGCAGATAGGAGCAATTTCCACGAATAAGTTAATTTTCCGCTTGTCCGTGTATACGTAGCAGCAGCAGCAGCAGAGTCCACCGCCGCCGCCGCCGCCACCGAACCGGTATATAATAAAGGTATATATATGTACTACACCGCGTAGACCGTGTCTGACGCTGCGCGCAGTCTGCGTGCAACCTATAATATATGTTAATCGAGATTCACGTTGCGCAAACTTATGTCCTTCCAACTTGCCTTTTAAACGTTGTGCGGGCCCGCACTGCTCTGTGTACATATGGCTAACTCGACGCGAGCAGCGTACATACGTTACGCTGAAACGATGTATTTTATATATCCGTGTGTATGTGTGTGTGTGTGTGTGTGTGCACCTGCGTTATAAAGTCGGAGCTCGTTAATGGATAATGCGGCGAAATATGCCAGCAGCAGCAGCACCTCGACGCTAAGCTAGCTCCAGTCCGTATATCTATCCGACGTGATTGAGCTGTGCGCAGCAGAAACAAGACGACGCGTGGGCGACGCGACGTATTACCCGAGCGACGACGACGAGCGCCGCGATACATGCATTTTCGATCGTTATATGTAGGTTGAGCGACGCAATACACCCCCGATCGCGCCAAAAAGCGTATCGCGTAGAGTCGACGATCGAGAGAACTAATCATCAATCGCGCGAGTCGTTAAATAAATCGTCGCGCACTCGAGCGAGAGGCAGAGTGTGTGTGCACCGTGTGTGTATGTGTGTGTGTGTGTGTGTGTGTGTGTGTGTGTGTGCGTGGAAAACCAAGCCAACTCTGATGTCAAGAGCCACTGATCCTGAACGCCTCTGCCGAGCGTAAATATATAGGAGCCTCTTTTCTCGATGGCTCTCGCGGCTGCACATTGTTTTAGCTTACATTGCGAAAGTGCTCTTGGCTGCAGTCAACTGGTATGCGCCCGTGTCTATCTATTTGGTCGCGACGCATTCTAGCTATACTAATTCGGTCGTTAAGTTGGCCCGTTATTGATAGCTCGTGCATTTTCGAGTGTTGTGCACATTTCGTTGCTCGCCGAGTCATTTTGAATGAGACTGGAGAGCTTAATTTGTATCCGATAGGTTTGAACGCCGTTTGTTCCATCGAAGACTGCCAAAATCATCTGTTTTTTTCATTGTTCCCCCTCATATAATCATATTTTCACTTTGCCATTTGCAGCTTTACAGATAAAGGTACTCACCATCTAGCGGGGGGAGCTTAAACTGGTATTACCGTTTTTAAACTGGTTGAAAACTAATTTAAATTTTTTGAAACAATCAAACTGTCATTTTCAGGTAATTTGAAATGCCCTCAATATTTGTAACATTATTGAAACGGAAAATTCGAAAAGAACAAGTCAATTAATGATAATGTATTTTAAAATATTTTAAGCGATAATTTTATGGTCATCAAGCCATTGTTAATGTTGAGAATCTTTATCAAGGTACTAGTTAAACAATTACATAGCCAATCGCTTAAAAGTGTATTGTTTCATTAAATTCAGATAAAATCTGTTCCTGTAATATTTAATCTTGATAAATTTAATTATGGCCAACATCTGCAGAATCAAAAAACTTTTTTTATTTATTTTTTTTGACCTCTTACATCGCCAATTTTTCAATATTTTTTTGTAGAAAGCAAAATCATAACAAACGAAGCATCCCTCTCATTTTTAATTTAACTTTTTTGGAATTTCCAACATGAAAAACTCACTAATACTGTAAAAATTTTCAACGTCGAGATACTTTTTAAACGAGTCGAGTGTAGAGATCGACGTTTTTATCGATACATACGCGCAAGCGCCAAACGATTCTGCGAGCCACAGATCACTCTTGTATCGCTCGGGTTGCCGAGCTCTCTTAAGTTCAAGCTTCGTCACATGCACGTCGGCGAACGTACAGCTATACAGCCAAGCGAGAACAATTCATTTGCGCGCGTAGCCATTCAGAATGCAATATTACCGATCCTCGAATACGATGCATGCGCAGCAGCCTCGTGTCAAAGCCCAGTCACTTGGATTTAGCTCCGCGCGTTGAATACCCCCGAGGCTACGGCCGACAAAGGTATCGGCATATAATCCGGCACGCGCATGCATCCTACCCCAATATCACTTTCACACGCGTACGGACGCGTTAAGAGTGTCATGCGTATCACACGCGCACGTCAAACTAAAATTTGTAGGAAACTCGTAGGCGAGGAGAAGGACACTTTAATCAAATTTATCGTTTATTTATTTTCATTTACACGCTGCTGCTGCTGCTGCTGCTTCTGGGCTCACGTAATTTGATTGGAGTAGCAAATTTCAAGTGAAAATCGTTTCGACACAAGAGCCCAAAAGTTCATATCCTCGAGTTTCGTTGCAAAAGAATGAACAAAATTGAGAAAAAAATTGATGACTTTATTTGGAAACAAACACCCAAGGAGAATTTTCAACGTGCGTTACATATATAATATAGCATAAATGCGTCGTGGCCAGAAGAAATATTATCCAATGCGAGGCATGCGATACGACGGTAAATTGCAGTTACAAAATCCCTTGTAGTATAATTAAAATTCATGCAACTTGCGGGTCACGCAGGCACGTCGTCGCAACTTTCTCCTCCGCGAAAGGTACACACACACACACAGGCCACGACGACGTTGACATAGCAAGTGCATACAGCAAGAATCGAAAGTATATTCTCCGCCGCTGATATAATTCGTCAGCCGCAGCTGCCGCACTGTCGGGTGTATATAGTACGCCGCTAAAATGAAAAAAAAACATCTCTCCCTCCGAACGATGTTATACGTGTCTGTGTATGTAATACGCAGTGAAAATGTCATAACTCGGGTCAACAGCACCGACGAGACGATCATTGCCTGCCGCACAGAAAGAGAGAGAAAGAGAAACGATGCATGGATATGTGCACGCGCGCACGATAGGTATGTATGTGCACACACGACACACAACACTGCACGTAAATATACAATATTATTGGCTAACGACGGTGACGCGCATCGACACGTGTCGGCGCAGTTTTTTCTTGCCTGCGCGCAAAATGTGTATGCAATATACGCAACGGTACTTTCCAGAACGCTGGGCTCTCTCTCTCAAAAGTTCGGTAAGAATCCGCGACGCGTATATCAAGTTTTTTTTTTACGATTGCGTCCACCACGCCCTGCAGAACGTTTCGCATTTCTCAATTTGTAAGTAATCGATGAGAGTGGCAATTTTCGACGTCGCGCCTGAAATTAAAGGATAAATCAGGAGAGTTTCGCTCGTTTGTGAAATAAACGGCCGTTCTTGAAAAAAATTTGATGCATGTGCGACGTCGATAGAGTCAAATTTGCCGAGAAAAAAAGGATGACATTACTTTCCAGAAAGGTTGTTCGCTATATCTCGTTTCATTTTTCCTTGCAACTTGGTAAAATTTTTTGCATGTAGCTGTGACAAAAATTAACTGCGATTTTTCATCGCGTCGATAAAATTATGATCGATTATAGCTCGGAACTTGTATACATCCTTTATATTTACGAGAGAGAAAGGTTATCGGAAAGCAGCAGTGTTCATAATGAGGCGCGCGCTAAACAATGGACGAGTTGCCAATACACAAAGGCCCCCGATGCAGAGTCGAACACGGCTAGCGCGTTATATAGCCGCTCGCGTGCACGATCATAATAAGAAAGAAACACCTTGGGACTTGGGGGCCACCGACAAGAGTTCGAGGCAATATTATCCTTTTTATTACATAAATCAAGATAATTGCAAGAAAGCATAAAAAAGCTAGCAGCAGCTATGTCGTAGGCCGTTCAAGTGTTAAATGAACTCTCAATAATAATCCTAGCCACGAGGATGATTCAGTACAAGAAAGAGAGCCGTGTAAAGTGTTTATGAAAGTATGAAAACGGATAGATTAATTAAGTGCTCGACGTATCGAGACTGCGATCCTATCAAGAGGTGCTTTGCACGCTCGCGAGCATTTATTAT